CATCATAAAAAGCACATCTCTGATGTAACATCGGTATAAAATTCTTAGAAATATCACATAATGTACGTATAGAGCAAATGTGCGCATCAAAAGTTTACATTTTAGTAATTTATTAAAGACAAAGAGAGTAAATGCATTTACTTTTTTTAAATGCCTTTCCTGTGTGCTTTGAATAGACTTTTATGTATCTATACTCAGTGAGTATTATTCACTCAACGTCAATTACGTTAATAGATGCATGGAAATGGTAACATTTCTGTTCTTTTCAATGAAAATAAGTTTTTCCTAGATATAACTTATTTCTATGACAAGAAGGTTTACAACGTTTCTCAATGATATGTATGTATACGTATGTTCCGTTATTAATTAAAATTCACAATCAAAGCAGATATATTCAAATTTGCCATAATGTTAATAAAAATATGTAGAAAATGACATATATTTTGAGTGCTTGGGTACTATAGTCAAAAGACAATGTAATTTGATTATTTCCATCGTTGAAAAATTACAAATATTTGCTGAAAACGAGCTGAAAATTAAAGATTGCAAGATAAAAACGTACAGACTTTCATTTATTTAGAAAAAAGACATTTATTTTCTCGAATTCAAATGTTTCTCTAAAATTATCACCGGTGACTATACTACTACCCAGACAATATATTTAGCTGCCGTCATCTGGATATTTCAGCTCATCTGGATGCCGTCAGCAGATGATGTGAAGTGAAACAATAGAAGTGATTGTTATAGTAATACCAGTATATAACAAGCTTATATACCTATAACAATCACTTCTATTGTTTTCACTTCATATCATCTGCTGACGATATCCAGATGAGCTGTAATATCCAGATGACGACAGCTAAATATATTGTCTGCTACTACCTAAAAAAATGTAATTTTTGATACGCCATTGGAAAGGTATTGACGAGTAGAGTCCGTCAATGGTTGCTGATTTCTAAGGGGGATTTTACTGGCATACAGAGAAAACTTCAATTGGAAAGCAGTTGAAAAAACTTAGAAATTCCTCGATGAATTAGTTAAAAAAATTAAAATTTGCTATATATAGCTATAGTCTATACCATTCCCATAAATTGGCTAGTGAACATAAAACTCTGTGTAATGAGATTGTACAGCAATTACGCAGAGTTGTGTCGAAGCAAATAATAGTTATATTATCTATTTATATTTAATTTGAATTGCGGATGCATAAAAATTTCATAAAATTGCTATAAATATGTTATGTAAAAATAAGAAAATATCAATATTGGCTTAAAAAAAGTTTTAAACAATCCGTTGTGAATATTCTATGATGTTTAAAATCAACAATTACTATAGGTAATTAATAAGACATTAACTTCTTACTTATATACGATTAAGCCCCAACAATTAATGTGGTGATAAGAAAATGCGGAGCATCGTTTTCAGTCATAAAGCTTGCAACACATGCAATGTTTTGTATACACATCTGGTTTTCATTGACGTAAATAGTGTGGTATGTTTTAAATAGTTACGTCATGAACTGTAAATTATTTACGTTCAAATCTCAAATAGCGTAAAGAAAAATCAATAAGAAGAAAAATGAGAAACCAATGGGAAACATAGCGTCATATATTGTGACGATAGATCGAATGGAGAGCGTAAAATTGAATGAAAAAAATGGCTTCAAAATTTGTGTTGCATGCGTTGTAATATCTGCTTGAATGCCAAATGCTGATTAATAAAATATGAAACGAAACAATTTGTTGCCGTCCAAAAATAAATCCACTGATTTTGGTCAGTTCTCAGTTCTCGAGACGTGATTAAACTGCGGACCAATTGATGAAGTCACAGATGAAAACTGAAAACATGTGCCTTTTGTTTTTATTCGGTGACGACTACGACGATGGCGACGGTGAGGACGACGATAAACGCATATTCCACCATACAATGTGTTCCGTGGCGCGATTTTTTCCGACTATCCGCCGAGTGATATATTTAAAGTTTATAGTGCTCTTGGTATTGTGGTTGTTCGTGTAAAACTTATGTGTTTGTAAAACGGAAAATTGGATATAACTCTTTTCGTTTGCACACACAGTTCAGTTCAGTTCAGTTTATTTTCGGTGTGTCGTGTATTATACGTGGTCAATTACGTAAATTCAGATATTTTCAAGCGAAAGAACAAAAGTTTCTTGAAAATTCAAACGAAAAGTTTCAAATTTAATTCAATAAAGTCGAATTTTATTTAAAAAAAGTAAAAAGAAAAAGAAAATCGTTCTTCCAACAATGCACGATTTAGCTCGATGGCCGAATAACAGTTTAGGATTTTCGTTTCGTATTTATTACGAAGAATGGTGTTAGTTCCGGTTTAATTTTTGTGCGAAATTTACTCAAATGAAAACTATAAAACTCAAACTGTGACAATTCATCACACTCATAAATTGGAATAAAAAAAATGTTTTATTGTGAAAACAGTTAAAATGAGAATTATGTGAGAATCAAATGAAGCATTGATTTGTGAGCCCAAGTAAAAAGTCGCTCACTATCGGCAGCAGAAAAAAAGCATCAAGTACTCAGAAGTCAATTGAGTCATATTTGACAGAAAGCATTCTTAATTTTCAATCACGCATTTGGATTAAATAAAACAAATGGAGCGACAGCGATCATTCAAAAGACGGCATAACATGCCCAAACCGCCGTTAGCCGAACGTGCTAAAGAGCATTGTCGTCAGTTTACGGCTTTTCTGTTCAGTAATGTTGGTATAATTATTCTCGTCGTTTTGTATATGACCAGCGGTAAGTGGACCACATTATTGCAACATTGAATGCAAAAACTACAGCAAAATTTCAATATTCTGTCGAATTAATAAAAAAATAATAACTTTGACTAGGTGGGCGGGTATTTATTTTCTCAGCCTTTTCTCTTTTGAATATTGTCACCATAGTTGATTTGATCGAAAAGTATCGCACTTCATTTGAATTTTGACTTTTCAAAAAGCCCGAAACAAATATTGACAGGCACATATAAATAAAAACTATTTACACACGAACGCATGAGAAATATCTTCTCTCCGATATATTTAGCACACTCAATGTTTGTATATAATGTAATTTATCAAAATTTATGTTGATTTAACATATTTAATGTGACACATTGCCAAATTCTCTTCATATTTTGGCGGATGTTTTCGTTTTTGATCTTTTTTTACAAATAAGATAAAAATCTCATACGTTTGATTCTCATCGAGACTCTTCGAATGGAAGGCTTCCAAAATCAGGGCAAAATTCGTACTATTTTCGTAGGAAGCATCGACCAAATAAGTTTTTTTCTCTTTTCACTCGCCTTTTCGTTAAAACAAAACCGAGTTTGTGTAGCCGATCTTTTGAAGTGACTATTTTGAAACCCACCTAATGTAGGACAGATTGATAGTTTCACTGTCACAGAAATTAAAAATGAAATACATAAAAATGAGAGCAACCGTGAATTAATAATCTTTGTGGCGTTGTGCCGTTGTGGTTCTATTTAAAATATAGGTGCATCAATGTTTAAGGCAATTGAAGGTGATGTCGATCTCCAACGTATCATTACTCTAAATAACAGTATGACCAAAACTCGTGGAGACGTAACAAATCAGCTCTGGGACATAACACTTAAGTTGAACAACTTTAATCAATCGTCGTTTATAAACGAGTAAGCACTCATGTGATTTGATCTTTTTTTTGTGTTTGAATTCTTTGTGTGCACACATTAATATCCAACGCAAATTCGATGAAAGCCATTTCGCTTGGCTTTTTGTTGTTTATTTTGGCATTTCAAACAAAATGTCGATTTCATTGATTTACGTTAATACAACGATGTTCCAACAAATCTTTTATGGCTGTCATCGTTTTTTGTTTTTTTGATTTTGCGGTTGTGCCATTTACTCCTGCTTCTGCAACAGCACCTGGTGTTGATGTTTTCATTTTGTTGCTCGGCAGAGTTCGTCCATATGTTTTAATAATTGAGTGAACTTCTAAATTAAATAATCCTATGGATAAACATATGTAGCACATAACTGTAGTAACATAATGCCACCGCTAACACATGTGCGCTTTGCCTAATCAAATTCCATGGAATCAATTCATTAATATGTTTTGACAGAAAATTTTCCAACCGAAATTACTCTGATCGAAATTAATACATTGCGATGGTTTTTAACAGCAACGTTTATTCATTCAATCACCGAATCCACTCAATAAGTGAATGGAAAAAAAGTTTGACGTCTAACTAATTGGTGTGTTTGTTGATTTTATTAAAATAGAGTAGACATTCGAATACAAGAATATCAGCAGAAAATTGTTCTGGCATTTCATGACGGATGGATGGGCTCGAATAGCACCAGCTCAAATACATGGACTTTTCCCAATTCACTTTTGTACTCGCTCACAGTCATCACAACCATCGGTATGCATAACATTTGAATTACTAATGAAAACTGAGTGAAAATCGAAGCTGTGATATGATAAATTCGCTCAGATTGAGATGAATGGACTTTAAATAGTTGAATTTAATTTATTTTTTAGGGTATGGAAATATCACACCACGAACATCACTCGGTAAAACGATTACAATCATTTATGCGATTGTCGGAATGCCATTGTTTTTGTTGTACCTATCGAACATCGGTGATATTATGGCAAAATCATTTAAATGGATCTATGCAAAAGTATGTTTGTGTCGAATATGTCCGGGTGTTGCTAAGCGTCGCGAAGCTAGAAATCGACGAAAAATGAGAGCACTGCAACGGCAATTAAATCAAGAATACGGAGCAGACGAAGAGGATGTAAGTAATTGATAATGCGATCAGTAAAATCTAAATGGCTTAATGTTCTTTTGGTTTATATTCACCAGGACGACTACATATCGGAAGAAAGTATTTCGTTGACGTCAGTATCATCGTCATCAAGCACCAAAACATCGGAAAATAAAACAAATCCAGACGACACATCATCGTCCACCTCCGAAAGTACTAACGAAGATTTAACAACCGTTTCCGTACCGATTAGCGTGTGTTTAATGATTATGATTTGGTAATTTCATTTGAAATTCAAGCACGACTTTTATGTGCTAACACACATGTTTGTTTGTTCACTCGATTACAGTTATATTTTATTTGGTGCAATTATTTTTTTGCACTGGGAAAGCAACTGGAGGATATTAACAGGTTGCTACTTTTGTTTTATTTCATTGAGCAGCATTGGTTTTGGCGACATCCTTCCCGGAGACAAAGTAAGGCATTGTATACAATTTTAGTGTAAAACAAGGAAAACATTTTCATTTATATGTGCCATTTCCAAACAGATATTCCATGTGAAAAAAGGAGAACCTGATTCGCTGTACGCCGTTGATATTCAATTCATTATATGTGCGATGTATCTGTTGCTGGGTATGGCATTGATTGCGATGTGCTTTAATTTGATGCAGGAACAGGTAATCAACAATATACGAGCATTTAAAAGATGTATTTCCGGATGTTTTCGTTGTCATCGTTGCAAAAGCAATCATGACTTTGACTAAACAACGTCTCCTTCAACTATTTCGTATTTAGAAGTAAGGAAAAAAAATGTTTTATACGATTTTAGATTTTATTCATATGATGTATTGTTTTATTTTAAATAAATGACATTCCAATATTAAACAGGAGCGAGATTTTATCCCTGGCGCATTGACTTTAGAATTGACTTTATGCAAATGAATGCCTAAAGCACACTTTATTGTATAGATTTGTTCGTTTTGTTTAGCAAAAAATAAATCCTTTCTTAATCTATGATCTAACATTTAATGGAATTTTTGATCTCATTCAAAAGCATGGATCCGATAACCATTTTTTCACAGTTAACTGTAATTGATGTGCCATTGGAAGCGTCACGATTGACCGTCACCAATACCACGCTTTGCGATGACATTGTTTGACCGGCAAATTGAAGAATATCTCCGTCCGAATTGGTTTTATTTGCAATGAGTGCCAAATTTGCCGTTTCGAATATATTTTGTTGAATTGCAATCGCCGTGGATTTTGTGTTTATTTTGCATATATGCTCATTCATTCCACACAAACGTGATTGTTCTTCTTTGAAAACCGATTCGCTGACACGAACCGATCGAATCATTTCACCAACGGACGATTTTAATGAAACCTTTGCACTTCCAGCACTTGATGTTATTTCAAATGTAAATGGTTGTGTTGAATCATTAAAATCAACACCAAGAACGCCCTGTACACATTGGCCGGGGCTCAATTTGGCAATGGTCACAAAATCACAAATTGTTATATTGGCTGGCAGTGACGATTTATTCGATATATGTATATTTTCCAACTCATTGTTCGATTCATTGTGGAATGTAAGTTCAATTGAAACCATTTTGGCTGAAAACAAATGCGGAGCACGAGTAAAACGATAGTTTATTTGTAGGCCATGACTATTGATTTTGTTCAAAAGTTCACGTTTATCCAATGAAACATGAACGGGACCGACCAATTCAAAACGACTTGATGTACTCATTGGGAGGTTTACACCAATGCTTGACGATGACATTGGAGACAAAAATCCACCCAATGATGGTGTCATTATCGGTGCGGTGGGAGCAATGTCACCCAAATCTAACAACAAATCCAAATTGCTTCGTTCCGCTTTTGGTGGTGGTGCGGTTGTTGCCTTTGAGTTTTCTTTTGGCTTCACTTTGACCTTGTTTTTTTCATCACTTGATTCGGAATCTTCATCACTTTCAGACGAATCTGTATCATCACTGCTGCTTTCTTCGCTCGAGCTTTCATCTGATCCATCATCTGAACCATCACTTTCACTGCCACTGCCACTACTTTTCGATTCGTCATCACTTTCATCGTTCTCCGAATTGGCTGAGCTTGACTTTTCATCCGAATTCTCGTCAGAGCTTGAATCGTCGTCGGAACGTCGTCCTTTAGACGATTCATTTTCATTTTCGCTATCCGTATAGAATGATTTATCTTTTTTATTTGATTTATTCGTTCCTTTGGCACTTCGGTTTTCCCAATGTTGGCTTTCGTTTGCATCAAAATTATTGCTATCATCGTGCACGACAATTTCAACCCCTCTAACACTTGAGTCGGGCGCCGTTTTTGGGAACGGTGGCAAATCATGATAACCAATTGTTCTAGCGTTCAAATAATGTGCCAACGATCCCAATTGGAATTGCTCACGAGAGTACTGGCTTATAAGCAACGGTGCTGGCTTAGCAGATAAAAATACACGTTTTGCCTGCTTTGACAGCACCGTTTCTCCATTCGCTGGGAATATAAATGGTTTTAAAAATCTGACACGGTCTCTGACATCATAGTTTTCGTCATATCGTGCCAAATTGAATAAATACCGACATAACATTTCTGTTTGCTCCGGATTGGTTAAGTAGAGTTTTACAGCCAGATTTAGAACTTGTAGTTTTACTATATTTTCCTGCATTTGAAAAGAATATCATGAAAATGTCAGTGAAAAACGTAATTTTTTAGTTTAAATAACTGACGAAATGTACCTCATCAGCAAAAGATTTGGCCATCTTTCTCAAGACATCCGGTGCAATTTTGGGCACTTTTTCGCAATATTCACCAATCAACCAGAGAATAGATGCTCGAGCCGCAGCCACTGTGATGAAATCAATCAATTTCGCCATTTGCGATATGATTTCAAAATGATCGGCTGCTTTTGTTTGTAGAAGATTTTTGATCACAACAACACTTTCAGCCACAACATATTCTGTATGTGAATAACGAAAAGAAAAAAAATTATTGAAAAAGATAATAAAAAACATTTCATCATTCAATTATACAAACCATCTCGATTTGATAGCAAATGCACCAATCCGCTCAAGCATGTTTCCGTCACTTCGGTAATTGATGCGGCACACCGTCCAATGGCCTGAATTGTTGCGGCGACAAACTTTTTGTCATTGCTACTGATGTACGTTTGAAATTCTCGTAAAATCACTGAAATCGTTGCGGCCGTTGCCAGACTCGTTAGAATCTCTAATTTAAGCAATTTAATATGGGTCGGATCACTGGTTCGTACAAAAAACGATTTGAGGTAGGGCTCAAAAATTGACTTTCGTTGCGTTGACATTGATGCAATGTTTGTGAGGACAACACTTTGCACCTCTTTGTGACTGCGTAGCAAACGTATCAATGCCTTTGACACAATGTTCACTTCATTTCTGGGCGCAATGTGATGATAAAGTTGAGCAACAATCATCACCACCGATGCATTTCGACTTTGCAAAAGTGGTTTTGTTTGTCTTAATAGCAGACGATGATCCGGATCAAGAATGTAGGTTTTATCATTTCGATTTAAATGAATTTTTGATTCAGATTCATTTTCCGAAGCGGAAGAGTCTTCATAAAATGGTTTTTCGTCCTTACCGCCATCACCATTTTCATTGCCATCATCATCATCTGCATTCGGATCGGTGAATTGGGTACGCGCATAACGTGTCAACATATTTATAATTATCACTTGTCCCCATTCATCAACGTCCACCAATAAATTGCACAATTTTCGATAATTTTTATGAATCAAATCGACGCGTTCGGGGCACACTTCCTCAAATGCCATTACGGCTGAACCAACAACTAGCGTAGTTTTATCGGATAAAAGCTTTTCAATGATTTTAATCAATTCTTCTTTTTGTTCTGCATCCAAGCTATACAGTTTTGGAATGGCGTGCGCCGCAGTTTTTCTAAAAAAAAGCAAAAAATGTATAGTTTTATTTTCAGTTGAAATCCAATATAATTCAACTTCCGATGAAATTCAATCGAAACATTCGAAATTTTCATTGATTTTAATTTGAAAAACATAAAAATGGTGATAACATCAACTCACCGAACATATGGGCTCATATCGGCCGAAGAATCTTTAATCGCCAACATGACAATAGGAACAATACAATGCACACGAATACTCGATAAGACACGAAGTGCACTTGCTCGAATCAATTGATTTGGATCTTTCAATGCACGTTGAAATGTCGAAATCGACAATAATGCAAGATCTTGTTGCTCTTCAGCGTAACGCACCAAATATACATAGACCAATTTTTTGATTTCAATGTTTTTAGATACGACGTTTTTAACGACAGCTGGAAATAGGTCGGATGCATCACGCCCCTATTACAAAAGCAAATTTCAGTCATTTATTCATACAGATTTTTATCAATTAAAATTGACTTTTACTGACCTTTGCTACCATGCCAATAATTCGTTTCATCGCTTCTAATTTCAAGTTATCCTTATTACTATCCAACATATTCCGCAAGTCATCATGTCTAAATTGATCCAATTGAAATGTTAGATTAAAAAATGTTAATTTTTATTTAAAATGCACTTGGTGTGACTCACTTTTTAAAATCACTATTGAAAAAACCTCCGGACGCAGCATCGTTTGCGTATTCAACATCCAGTCCGGTTTGAACCGATGATCGATCGCTATTGTATGATGAAGACACAGCCATTCCGCTTGATGATGAAGCGCCGCTCAAATTTTGTAATGCATTTGCCGCACTCATTGTAGAGCCACCTAGCATACCTACACTTTGAAGTGCAATTATTTTTTACCCAACTAAACTAAATAAAATAAATTCAAAACCAGAATTCAGACATTGAATATGATGATAAATTAATAGAATAAATGCATAAAATTCCAATTAATTAACGAACAAGTGGCGGCTTAAGTCGATAAAGTTCTCGATAATATATGACAATTGGAAAATATGAATGAACCAATTAAAGAGATTTCACTCACCGAGTATTCTTTCAGCAACAATTTCTATGAAATTGTTTAACCGATACAATAAAATTCCTCGTCTATTTCCAAATAAAATGATTTACAAAAGAAAATAAAGTCACCGATTGAGAAAAATAAATTGTATTTTATTGCACAAAAATCTCTTCAAGATTCTTTTACTTTCGAAAATTTCTTCAAAAAAAATGTCTATGTTTTTCCCATACGGAACAAGCATAAGCTTGTAGACATTGCCAGAGAAATTGGCTTTGATGACGTTTTCGGAGCTGTCAAGTGTTGCCAATCACATACACTTCTTGTGTAGAGGGCACCATATACGAATGGACGAACAATTTGAATTTTACAAATAAATTTAATTCCCTGACTTTAAAACATAGCTTTTATTGTGATTTATGCACAGTGTATTTTGTTCTAATTTGCAACATTCAACGTTATAATTCAACTATCAATTAAAAAGAAATATCGAGTATACTGTTCATTTCAATACACTGATTTGTTGTTTTGACAGCCGCAAGAATCAACAAGATGGAATGAGATAAGTATATTTGCGAAATAGCTGAATTTTAAAGTTGTTTCTTTTCATCTCTCTCTTGAACACCGGCAAAGCGTGTTCAAATAAGACATCAGCTGTAATAATAATATCAATCGTATTATATCATTTTTTTGTTGAGTCAATTTCGATTTGACCGTCTTTGGGAACGTGAGTATTTTTTCAAGCTCTATTCGTTATTCAATTAGCGCAGTAACCTATGCGATTGGATTTTCAATTTGGAAATTGTTGTGATAGATTTTTTTTTTTGATTTCCAAAAAATACAAAAAATATAACATACGACGTAATAAGATGAACATTGTTTGAAATACTTTGAAAGGCATATACATTTCATCATATCAAATTCTCATTCTTTTGGTGTCATTCTCTGATTTTAAACATAAAAAAGAAACAAGTTGTAAATCAAGGTTTTCAAGTGACTTTTCAAATTATACAAAATAGTTTAATACTAGATATTAGACATCTGACAATAACTAGATACATGCTAATTAAATACATTGTTGCCATTCAATACATTGTTGCCTCTCGATACATTGTTGTTGTTGTGAAATACAATCTAATATAAAATATCACTTTGTGTGTGAAGATTTCTGCTTACTTTTTCAAAAGATAAGAGCAATAAACAAATGGTTTGAACTAAGTTTGTTTAAACAAAGGCACATATACTGATCAGTTGCTATCGCGCGAGTGCTTCAGATATTTTTAACGAATGTTTTCTTTAAAAAAATATTTTCTTTTGAATATCAATTTGTGTGTGTGTATATATTTTTTTAAAATTGAATTAGTTTATCGGAGAACAGAAGAAAGATGTTACGTGCAGCCAATTCACTACTGCGTACAGGATCCAGCCCAAATCAATGGCAACAATGCATGAAAATATCATCATCAAAAGCCACTTATTTTGCAGCCGCTCCAAACCCACAAACTAATCCAGATATTTTATACACCGGAGTAAGAAATACATTGCTATACTTGACATCTCCACTTATCAAATATTAAACTAATTAAATAAAATGTCTTTTTTCAGCTTTTCATCAATAATGATTGGTGCAAGAGCAAATCTGGTGAAATTTTTCCAACTGTGAATCCAGCCACTGGTCAAGAAATTGCTCAAATCCAAGCAGGAGGCAAAGAGGATGTTAACATTGCAGTTGCTGCCGCTCGTGAAGCTTTCAAGTAAATTAATGCGAATAGTTTTAGATTTAGTGTTTGGACTTTGCTTCTTAAAATAAATTAATGTTCAGTCAATGTACACTTATATAGATTGGGTTCACCATGGCGGCGCATGGATGCTTCCGAACGAGGAAGTTTATTGTATAAATTGGCTGATTTGATGGAACGTGACCGATCATATTTAGCGGTATGTATTTTATAAGTATATAATAATTTATTCCTAATTTTAAAATGATGTCGCTTTCAATTTTCAGAGTCTTGAAACATTTGATAACGGTAAGCAATCTCCGGAATATCAATGTCGCTCTGATTCATTGCCATCTTTAATTTGTTTTTAAATTATTTTCAGGAAAACCATTTTCCGCATCGTACTATGTAGATGTTCCATTTTCTATTAAGAATTTGCGCTACTTTGCCGGATGGGCCGATAAAAATCACGGTAAATTGTTACAAAAAATGTAATTTAAAACGATATTTATGAATCGATTAATTTAGGTAAAACCATTCCTATGGATGGAGATTACTTTGCATACACTCGCCATGAGCCAGTTGGTGTCTGCGGACAGATTATACCTTGGTAATATAATCTTATATCAAGTCGATTCTATTCTTCCATTTTTAATTATATTTCTACATTTAACAGGAACTTCCCACTGTTGATGATGGCATGGAAATTGGGTCCAGCTCTTGCTACGGGAAATACAGTCGGTATGTGTATGATTTAATTTTCATTTTGGCGACACTAATCTATTATTCATATTCATTAGTATTGAAACCGGCCGAGCAAACGAGTCTAACTGCCCTTTATATGGCACAATTAACAAAAGAAGCTGGATTTCCTGAGGGAGTTATCAATGTGGTTCCTGGTGATGGTAAAACTGGTGCATTGATTGCCAATCATATGGACGTTGATAAAGTTGCATTTACTGGCTCTACCGAAGTGGGCAAACTAATTCAACAAGCCAGTGGATCCAGTAACTTGAAACGTGTCACACTTGAATTGGGAGGGAAATCACCGAATATCATTCTATCTGACACTGACATGGACTACGCCGTTGAACAAGCACATTTCGGACTATTCTTCAATGTTTGTATTGAAAAACTTTATTGATCATTTGTATCCATATAATCTCTACTGATGCCATTTTTCACCGATGCATTTCACAGATGGGCCAATGTTGTTGCGCAGGTTCACGGAACTACATTGAAGATAGCATTTATGACGAATTTGTTGAACGAAGTGCTGAGCGGGCTAAGAAGCGTACAATTGGTGATCCTTTTGATTCGACGGTGGAACAAGGTACAAAATATTCTAAAAAGTCGGTTCAATTGAGTTAATTTGAATATTGTTTGAATTTTTGCCAGGCCCCCAAATCGATAACGAACAAATGAACAAAATTCTTGAACTGATTGAAAGCGGTAAACGCGCAGGTGCCAAATTGGTAGCAGGTGGCGAAAGACACACTGATCTAGGTGATGGCTACTACATTAAGCCAACTGTGTTTGCTGATGTTCAAGATAATATGCGAATTGCACGCGAAGAGATCTTTGGGCCAGTCCAACTATTGATTCGATTCAAAAACATCGACGAGGTGATTGAACGTGCCAACAAGAGCGAATATGGATTGGCCGCTGCTGTTTTTACGAAAGACTTGGACAAAGCAAATCACATTGTACAAGGTTTACGTGCTGGTACTGTTTGGGTTAACGCCTATAATGCATTTGGCGCTCAAGTCCCGTTCGGTGGCTACAAAATGTCTGGACATGGCCGTGAAAATAGCGAATATGCTTTGCAGAACTACACCGAAGTTAAGAGCGTCATTGTTAAAGTACCACAAAAGAACTCTTAATTTTGTTCCCCATTGAAAACATATGCTTCCAATTTTGTTGGCCTTTAAATACATTTTATAAATCAGCATTTTTCAAACTCAAAAGTCGATTTGTATGAAATACAATAATATAATCCCCAACATGGTGTGTTTAATTTTTCTGTACATGTATTCCATCTAACATTGTGTTATATTCTTTCAAATTATCGATTAACAATATTGCTACTCTAAGTTTGGTCAGATTGATGCTTTCATTTTTGGAATGTACATTGTATATGTAAATATAAAATGCGATAGGGACGAAAGTTTTGGGGAGAAAGCACAAGTGTTTCAACTTGTAGAAATTAATACAAATACAGAAAGAAAGAAAGAAAGAAAAAAGCAACGACTTTCTAAGAAATGCCTTTAGTTCAAAAATGAACAATAAAAACAAATTTTTTGATGCAAATCAATGATCATTTTGATTAGAAATCTTTTAATGTTGTCAAATTCTGTTCACAATATGCATTAAACTCTTTAGGAACTGCTTAAATAAGACCATGTTGCATGAATATATCAATGATGAACTTGTATTTATTGATGGCCGTTTGGGAAGCTGCTTTACTTAACCCAAATGGATCTTTATTTAACTTGTCAAGTGTTGATACGGACTCATGATCAGAATTAAATACTCTCGTAGGGAGAGCGATCAAGAAAGGCGAGGATTTTGCCTTTTCTCGAATTTCACGCCACATCCTGGAATTAATCTGTTATGATTGTATATTCAAATAATAATAATAATAATCTCCTTACTTTTCATGTGTCTAATCGTCCAATGGATATTTTACCAATTTCATCATTTTTTGAAACTCGGAAATATAATAGTCAACAAACAACTTAAAATTCGCCTTCAAATCAATGCTACGAACACTTATGAATAAAAAGTACGACAATTCAAACACAAACGAATCATACGCATAGAATTGAAAATCGTAAATTTTTACTTTCACCGAGTTGTTATCTAAGAACCATAGAAGTTTTATAGACAATTTTTAAAATCATGAAATAATTTAACCGACATACCTTTTCTAACCATAACATTGTTGATATGCAAATCGTTATGAAAAACCGTCGTATACGGTGTATCAGTAGGAATGGTCAAGTCTTTCATATGTTTCACATGCATCGCATACATGTTGTCAAGTGCAGAGCGTGATTCCGCAGTAAGATTAAGACGACGTTTCATCTCGCCATAAATTGACTGAAAAGTACATTTTTCGTACAATGTTAAATTCTTATTTTTCAAGTATGATATACTTCGTATATTGTATTGTCGTTTTTTTTCCATTGGCTTATTTGTATTGTAAAATTTTGGCTGTAATCGTCTCATTGCAATGCCCAATGCATGGTATTTTGCCACCTCCAATGAATAAGATTCAAAACTTTGGTGAAAATATCTAACTAATTTGATTTATAATGTAGCGTACTTTAAGAGTTGCCAATGTTTCATTTGTATTGAGACCGATGCGCCTATTTACGTTGGTGAAGTTCTGAACTTTAATATTTTCAAGCATTAAAATTGCATCAGAATCGGCAAATTCAGCGTCTGTGAATTTCGAAATGCGTATATTTTCTCCTAATTCAGATGATTCGTATTATGGCTTACTAGGTTTTAATGAAAATCTCGATCCAAGGCATGGAATGAACGCATCCAATCTTTCTTTCAACGGTACATTTGCAATCTCTTCAAATTGTTCCAAAGCCGGAATTATATCTGTGTAAAAGCGGACCTCATTTACAAATGTCACTGCTGGGTTGAAATATTCAGCCAAAACGACATTGAGCACGGGTGTTTTGACGACAAGGCTGTAAATTTTATTCTACAATACGTTTTAAGAATATAGATTAACATTTTTAAAGTTGTAGTTGAATCGATGAAACTCACTTTGTCAGAATCATTGGCTACTTTTACAACAACGGATCGCAATATAGCACCATAATTATCACCAGGCTTAGTTAAAAAAAATTACCGAATAGACCAGAACTTTTCTATTTAGACTAGTCTCCAGAAATTCGGTAAAATTTTTGATTACGTCCGGAAGTGTTCCCATGTTGCAGTTTGCCACAGCAATGACTGATAAGACACATAATATGTCAGATAATAAAGAAAAAAAGGCAAAACTGGACAAATGTATCCTTAGGCCTGAATATGCTACTTTTGATAGAATAGCTTGGTTTTGTTTTTTTCAAATGAAGTATAGTCGAATAGTATCACACTGTACGTTTTGGGTAAATGATTCAGATAATTATAAAGAAATATGGATTCGAAACTGCTTGGAGACGAACATAAATAAATATATCCGCGGTAACGGCTTAGGCGCTGTGTTCAGACGTGATATCATATCCTTTTCTATAGTATAGATTAGTTCAAATTCAAAATGATACTCAACACAATTTTTAATAAAATTCAATAAAATCAAATGTTTTATTTCTGTTTTCCTAATAATTATTTCGTTATAATAAAACTAATCATGTATAGAACAAAGAATTTACAGATGTTTTGCATGCAGACTAATTTCGAAGGAACTTCGTTCAATTCAACATGTCCATCACTTTATCTTTGCGTACATCCAAAGTGGTGTTGTTGAGCTCATTGCATGTTGCATAATAACTTGTTGTATTCCATCTTTTAAATTCTTCAAAATACATCTCAATGTAATTTCCGGGATAATTGTTTATTTCAGCCATTTCTGATAATTCTTTGAAGTAAACATACAGTTCGGGCAACTGTAAATTGTGTGTATGACGTTTAGTATATTCTTTACAATCGTACAGTATTTTCAATTGTGTTTGCTCTTCTTTGTACATTTCTACTTTTGAAGGTAGTTTCTTTTCCCCGGTAATGAATTTCATCGCAAATTGAACCTAGTTTTGTGAATAATGTTTATCAATAAATTAAAAACGAATTAAAACATGTCACACAATTGTATTTACTTGAAAATCATACGTTATAAACGAAATAGTCTCGGATACTATGCCAATGAAAACCATTGTAGGATGTTCGATGTTAAAAATTTGCTTAAAAAGTGGTGAAACCGAATTATCTTCAACATGAATGCCCGTATCAACACTCAGCATTGGAAATGAATAGTTGTAGCCTGAAATTTGAGTTTGTTATGTTCTTCTTCTGCTGAATTATGCTCATAATTATTCACCTGTTGCAAAAATAATCACGGAAAATGTAACGTTGCTGCCATCAATGAATTCAGCTGCAGTTGAATTCAAACGTACCACTTCGTGTTGAAAATTAATTTTTGATTTTACATCACGTTTGTAACGATCTCCCATAGTTATATAGTGTTTCCTTTTATTACTTATTGTAAGCCGAGATGCAACATCTTCCAATTGATCAAATATATCCATTGCGCTAGCTCCATTTCCAATGATAAGAACACTTTCATCTATTTAAATAATAAAATTAAATGTGGCGGCACGATCAAAATAAAAATGTTATCCAACTTTAAAAAAAAACTTACTACGAAATGCTTCAGCATCACGATAATCATGGCTATGAAGCATTTTTCCCTTGAATTCTTCCATTCCAGAAATGCTTGGATAGTGTGGTGATGAATATTTTCCATTGCAGACGAAAACATAGTCATAAATTAATGTGTGAAATGTGCCATTTGGTAAATTCTTTACGATTACTTCCCACTGACCCTTTTCGATGGGATGAACTCGAACAACCAAATGATTCAATTTGACGTGCTTTCTTATATCAAAATGATCAACATAGGATTGAATGTATTCGAAAACTTCGGCTTGTGATGGTCTTGTGAAATGTTCGGTTATATTTTGATAGTCAAAATCTTTATAGTGCATAATTTTCCTTGGTAAATTGGCGCTAATTGTAATAAGAAAATGATTATTGATTTTATTGAACATAATGTTTTTAGATGTGAACGGATTACATAACATACCTTAAACCTCGATACATTGCTGAATGAACCTTTATACCGTACTGGTTTTTTCCTGTTTGATTTGTATAGAACCATGTTCCGCCAATATCTTCACTCTGTTCGTAAATTGTCACATTGTATCCTTGAGCGAGTAAATGTTTTGCACTTGCAATTCCCGATACACCGGCTCCAATGACAACAAATTTTAAATCTGACGTTTTGTCATCATTCACCGGTGCTGTTTTCACTGATTGCAATGATGCAATCAAAATCGCAACACATGACGCACTATAAATAGTAAAATTCTTCATTTAATTAGCACAACCTTTTCAGCGCACAACACTTTTCAACGTCAATGCTCTATGTATAACTTTAAGATTTGAATGTCGTCACTCATTTAACACATCATTTTTTATAACAAAAAATCAGTGAAACAGTATTGACGTTTCCATTGTTATCAGTAAACTGTAAAAGGCCAAAGAATAAATTGAAATGTGACAAATTTTTGGCAACTACAGTTTCGTGAACAATAATTTATTATTTCAAAACTATTTTTTATTTAATCATTATTTATTAATCCATAATGGAATTTTTTTCTCTTTTTGCCAGAATATTCAAGTTGGCATTTTTTGTTGGACAGAAGTCATATTTTACCGCCTGGACGTTCTTTCATATTCCAATAGAGAATACCCATCACGTCAACTGTAAAATTCCCATTTTGATAAGATATAATGCAGCGAAACAACAAAAAACCAAATACGTATACTATCTCAATAGAGATTGTAACCAAGCAGAGGATTTTTTATTATAACTTCGCAAAAGTTAAATAAAAATTGCCGAAAGTTAGGCGAAGTTTAAAGTTTACTCTAACAAAGCGATCATCTGCACAACGATCAGCATAAAGTGAGTGATCGTCATATTTTCAAGTTTTCAAAGTTCTTTTCGATGATAGCGGAACGGAGAAACAAATAAAACGAAGACAATTCAGTGACGAAACCAAATATGTGTGAATCAATGTGCAATGGAGTATGTAGTACGCGAAATTAGAACGTCTTCCAAATACATACACAATAATGTATGCATCGGTTGCGTTGGTTTTCTAATGCACCGAAATCGGGTAGTTGGTAGGAGTCGAACGTTTTTGCGTTAGTTAGCTAGTGCATGCTACATAGTAAGCGTGAAACATATCAACTTAAAAGCAGAAGTTTTTTTTACAAAAAAACATGGATAATTTGTGGAAAAAAGAAGAAAGTAACGGAGTTACTGTGTACTAGGGGCTCGGAACATGAAAAAAAAAATCAAAATAAACAAAGTTTTGACAATTTTGTATGAATGTGGTGTATAAATGGAAAATATTGAGAATATTTTGAATATTTCTCATATTTACGTAATTATTTGTCATTATTCAGCTCGTATATGGAACCGATGTAAAACACACACAACACAAAATAAAATTAATAGTTGTTGTTTTTATTATATAAAAAGAGATTTCAGCCTAAAAACTTATATTTCTTTGATAAAAAAATAATTTGACTGAAGAACATCAAAAATATATAGGTAAAAGTGTTCTAAGCTTGTCTGATTTTATAAATAACATTCCATCATTTGCCGCCATTTTCATATTTAAGATAATCAAAATATTGGGAATATTCATGATTATTCACAGTTTTGTTCACACTCAAAATGTACCAATATTCGTGAATATGGTGATTATTATTGTTTAAACTCAAAATATATCAATATTTCTGATTATGTGTGTTTTTTCATCAATAAAAAATACTTCCGAGCCCCTAGACTGTGTATGTAGATGTTTTCAAAAATGTGCAAAGTACTGTAACATCAAGCAATAAAATTCGAAATCTAATTGGAAAAAATCATGAAAAATCAAAGCAGTATCTAAGTGAAGCGAATCGAAAATTAAACGACAATTTATGGATCGGTGCAATGAATGACTGCAATGATAGTTTACGGTTTGCTGAGATTGGCACAGAAAATGTGAGTTTGGCATACGTCAACCGATCCACTTGTTTTTTTCAACTTAAAATGTTTAACAAGTGCCTCGCAGATATTGAAATGGCCAAGCAAGCAAATTGTCTGAAAAGTGTAATTCAGGAAATGGACAAACAAAAAGCACATTGTATTAGTGCAAAGAGAAAACTGCAAGATGAACAACTGGACGAGCCACAACCCAATTATGAATCGAACGTCAACTTCGAGTCTATGGCAAATGTGTTGGAGATAAAGAAAACTGAGGAATTAGGACGAGGTATTTACGCGAAATGTGATATACCAATGAACCAAACGATTTTGGTGGAAAAAGCCTTTATATCACACAAAGCATCGGGTCCTTTAGCCACTTGTGCAACGTGTCAAAATGTTGCAATGAATTTCATTGCTTGTGAAAATTGCTCCGAAGTATTATTTTGTGGTGTGAGCTGCAAGGTACACAAAAGTTTACATAAATATGACTGTGGATTTGTTTATAATCGCGACGAAGTAATGAATTCGGAACTAAAAATGATTGCTCATTCAATTTATTTTGCCATAGAAGCATTCGACACTACTAACGATTTGATTCGATTCGTTGAAAAATCGGAGAAAAGTAAGGTATTATGGGTGCCAAGCTCTCTGAATGATGCACAGTCTAAATATCGTTTGTTTTTGACGCTCTCAACACGACCAGAGAAAAATGACCGTGCATTGAAGAACAAAGCCAAAGAACTTCATTCAATATTATTACAACGCCAGATAATTAAAACATTTTTTGATGATACATTTAAAATGCGTTTTCTAATGCATCTTTTGGTTAAGCATGTTCTCATTGCAAGTCAAAATGTTTTTACTGGTGGGCAGTTCCCATTGTCTCAATTGCAGCGTACCGCTATAATTCCACTGATTTACAGTTTGTTCAATCATTCTTGCATTAACAACGCTTTCTATCACTCGTTTGGTGGCAGTGTAATTGTTAAAACAACTCGTCCGATAAAAAAAGATGAACAAGTATTCATTTTGTACATAAATGGTCCACCACCAATACGTCAAATTATGATCAAAGAAAATTTTGGTTTTATTTGCAAATGCAATAAGTGTAAAAGAAATGATGGAACCTGTGACATCATTCCTGACCCAGCTTTTAGAATACTTCGAGAATTCTTTCTACCATAATTATTGCATTACCCGAGTGGAAAAAAAGTGACTAAGTTACTATTGACTGTAAGTGACAATAGTTAGCTATATTCATGAATTTTAAAATTTTGTATGGAAAACAATCGACTATAGTTACTCAGTCAGTCAGGCGATTATTTTGGGACGTTTTGACTATCGGGTGACTATGATTATTGTCAACTATAGTTAGCTGTTGCAGTTAACCATAGCTTACTTTAATTGATTGAAGTTAACTAAATTTAACTAAGGTTGCTTGTTTTTACAGTCAATAGTCAGTCAGTTTGTCCCAAAATAGTCAGTCACTTTTTTTGTACGCGGGTATGCAGTTATACATTTTACTTTCTTATTTGGCATTCTGTATCAGTATCATGTTTTTTTATTTTGAATTTCATAATGATAATGAAATATGAGAAAACATCATTTTATTTCTTTAGAATTTTAATTTTTTTTATATTTGACTTTTCAAAGCACATTCATAATACAATTGTGGAACAAAAATAAAATAATCATGTTTTTTACAACAGCAAATAGATCATTTTCATTAGCCTTTTAAAAGAAGATTTTTTTTCCAGTGATCGAAGAGGTTCGAAGAAAAAACGTAAGTAGGTTCAAAACATACACATTCCTCAGAAAAAAGTTCATTCGATACTCTTATTTTCGAGTATTAAATATAAAAATATTCTGAATGAATTTGCATTTTTTTTTCACGTAAATAAAAATCAAAACACGAGCAACTAGTCAGCGAAGTAAAAAAGTGTCTACGAGATGCTATCGAGTTTCCTTTAATCGCTTTAAATTTAAATATACATCCATTTATGTTTCGTTGATATGGACACAAACAACGTGATTTCAATAAATACCGACAAAAAAAATTGCTAACATCAAATGTAAACAAGTAAATTAGGTGAATTCAGAAATATCTGATTCGAAATCCATGGAAATGATGAAAAATCAGAATTGATATAAAATGATTTTTTTTTTCTGGGAAGATAATTTACATTTTCAAGAGATTTAAACTAACAATTGGAATTTTCAATTTCTCACAATAAATCTTCATATGCGTATTTTTATTTAATTATTCATCGAAAGAGCACGAGACAAAATGCAACAAAGCTGTATTTCGGACATTTGTATGAACTATATTCATTTTATGCATTTTCCAATCAGTGTTTGTATCACTTTCGTTTACCCCTATGGAGTGGCTACAAGTGTTCGTATCGGCGATGAATTTCATTGTGAATCGTGCCTATGATAAATTGATAATTCATTAAAATTGTTCTAAACACGACAATTGAAAATGTGTGAAATGTATTTACCTGCAAATCGTAGATTCTAGATGGACGGCTTGTTTGAGTTCTGATAAAAACCATTATAAACTGTTATTATCCGGCCAAAGATGTACAATCAATCAATATCGCACATTTTTTCGACATAACTCGCCTTTCTGTGATATCCATAGTGATAAGACTCTTATTATAAGAGATTTTGTTATTCGAATTAAAGCACTTCCTTTGCATTTGAAGATACATTGTGTGGCATCTATTTATAGATGTTGGTCCAATGTAAAACAGCTTTTTCGTGTTTTAAAAGCATTTTTGATGCTAGATCAATATTATTGGTATCTGAAACCGTAAAATAATACTTTTTAATACTAAGCGTCGGATGATATTTTCTTACTGTATAGGTTTTTTTCAAACATATTTTTTTTTTTTTAATCCTGATTTAAACAATCAGAAAAAAATTAAGTCAAGTAAAATCAATTCCAAGATTTATTTTTATTGCTGTTTTCATTTAAAAAAATCATGAACATAACAGAAGTACAGCGGATAAAATAAATCGAAATACGAGCGTACATAGCGCTTCATATAGAATGTTTCTTTCACAATGCTGGCTAGCACATTACTCTAAGTAAGTCTTAGTGTCAATAGCAATTAACGAATCACTGACACGATGATGTTGCATATCGCTAAACTGACATATTTGAATGCGTGAACCACGCAGGACCTAAATGTGAAATTTAATCAATAGATTATTTTTGAACAAAAAATGATTTTTTTACATTTTTTCAAGGAAAAAAGTCAGATAACATTTTTAATTTCAATACCATATTACCGAAAATTCTACTGCAAAGAAACAATTTGAGCGTTTTTTTGATCGTGTAAAAGATCAAGAATGTATCGTAGTTTCAACGAAAATCTCTACTAATCCGTTCGCTATGACATTATAATTGCTTCGTTGATGGCCAAAAAGACAAAGCAACGACACGCCAGAGTCACTTGATATCGCTTGACGCATCATCATGAATCTTTTTTCTCATGAAAAATGTATTTTATTTATGAATTTAGCCTCTTTAGAATGCAACGAGTTTATTTTAGAATTCAAAATTATCGCATCGTGTGAATATTTTAAACGTTTCGATTATTGATTTAAATTAGTTTTCTAATAGTTAAAATCGATCACAATTGAATTTCAACTGACAAAAAATACAGATAAAAGAAACTTACTTACTCGTAATGACGGCCGCATTAACAATATTTAGCGTATTTATTCTTATACAGGAATACAAACTAGATTAAACCATTTTTTTCACTTTTTTTCACAAATATACATCGAAATAAATGTTAATTATATAGTATTCGTGATGATCATTTTTTAATTTTTTAAACTACTTCATACCATATATAAATGAATATAAATAACATCACGAAACAAATTACAAGAAAAAATTCGTCGGGGCAATTTTCATCTCGAACGAAGAAGTTGTAATTTCGTTTGGTTGTATCCATTTTGCTTGCTAAACATCAAATGAATGAGTTAAATGGGGAGATTGTTCTTTTTTTCTTGAAATGCGCCTTATTAAAAATGGAAAATATGAACAGTACGCACGTTCTGTTGGAAAGAGATTTATTTGACAGGCAATGAGTGGCCCAAAGATATAATTTCTTATGCTTTTCGGCTGTTTATAAACAAGTGAGTTATATAGAATTGTACTTTTGATTCTCATACACTCTACTAACCCGAATGGTTCATTTGCGGACTTAAGCGGAGATGTTGCGGAGCTGTGTGGAGATAGACATGAACAGTATTGAAGAACATGCGTAAGCATAGTAACCATTGCGCGCACACAAATAAAGATTTACACTCGTCTGTTGTATACTGTTCACGCCTCTTGCATACTGTTCATATCTATCTCCACACAGCTCCGCAACATCTCCGTTTAAGTCCGCAAATGAACCATTCGGGAACTGCTGAGCTTTTGTAATTTATCCATTTTTTAAAAATCATATTGTCCGCTATTTTAAGATAGTTAGTCTGAATGTGAAATTGGCGGAGAAGTTTTGATAAGCATCATAAAAACTTTTGAAATCTTGTTCATAAATTCTTATAAATTGTGACACATCGTTCAGTTTATTGGTGCAGTTTCATCGATCCACAAATTAATCGAGATGACATTTCTTTTTTAAACTAATAAAATCCATTGAAAATAATGCAAATAATGCTACGAAATTTAAACTATCTCAATATCTATTGGATTGTTGGATTTAAAATAGCTATTAATGTCACTAATAATGGTGGTCTGCTGCTAGGTCAAAATTAATCTTCGTGTCTTTCCTTAGTGAAGGTGTTGTCATCGATAATGGTGTATTTATATTTGCGAAATTCAGCTGGATCCTTTAGAATTGTTGCACGTGCATCATAATGCATATCAGCCATCACGGATGGAATGTTATCAATGTCCGCAATTTCCGAAAGCTGTTTGAAGTATTCCTTTTGCTCCTTTCCCAAATAGTGAGTGTAACGCTTGCGATAGCCTTTGCCATAGTGCTCTTTCAATTGAAACTGCATGTCCGAATACATTTCAGATTTAGACGGTAGCTCCTTTTGACCAGTAATGAATTTCATTGCAAATCGTGCCTATCATAAATTCAGAAAATTTATTTCATTTTATTAATATGGTGCAAATAAATGAATTGAAAGCGATAAAAGTCATATTTACCTGTAAGTCGTAAACTCTAGTTGTACACGCCGTGAATGGAACGCCAATAAAAACCATTGTAGGATATTCGATATTGAAAATTTGTTTATAGAGTGGCGAAACACAATTCTCATCAACTTGAACACCAGTATCAACACTCAAAAATGGATATGTGAAGTTATAGCCTAAGAAATTGTACAAATTTTATTCACATTTCATAAAACCCAATATAAATTATTCACCTGTTGCAAAGATGACCGCAGAAAATGTTTCATGTGTGCCATCAATGAATTCGGCTCCATTTGTGGTAAAGCGCTTTACATCATCTTGAAGTGTGGTTTTTGGTGGCAATAAACTTTTACGATGTTCCCGTTCCTCCTTCGTTTCATTGGGACGTTTAAACTGACTGAAGGTAATTCGGGTTGCAACTTTTGACAATTGTCCTGTTATATCCATTCCACTGGGTCCGAGTCCGATTACAAGAACACTTTCGTCTGTGTATGAAAATAAAAATAAAAGCATTTTGATCATTGATCAAAGCATCATTTCTATAGTTATTCGTACCTTGAAAAGATTCGGGTTTACGATAATCGTGGCTGTGAAGCATTTTTCCTTCGAATTCTTTGATGCCGGGAATGCTAGGGTAACGTGGTGAAGAGAAATGACCATTGCAAACAAACACATAGTCATAGGTCAATGTTTGAAATTCATTGTTTGGCAAATCTTTCACGATCACTTCCCATTTATCGTCTTCGATTGGAAGAACACGAATGACCAAATGATTCAATTTAATGTGCTTCTTAATATCGTAGTGATCGGCATAGGAATGAAGATAATTAAGAACATCGGCTTGCGGTGGATATGGAATAGTTCCGTTTGGGTATGGAAAATCGGGAAACTCCATTAACTGGTGTGGCAAATTGGTTCTAGTTGAAAATTAAGAACGAAATGAATTGGTTGTTTGACATGAATTCGCATGTTAAAATACCTTAAGCCTTGATACATCGCCGAATGAACACCGACGCCATACTGGTCCTTTCCCGTTTTATCGGTGTACCACCAGATTCCACCAAACTGTTCGCTTTGCTCATAAATAGTCACGTTATATTTTTCAGCGAGCAAATATCTTGATATTGCGAGGCCTAATTTTGAGAATTATTTATAATTGCATTATAATAATTAAATATAAAAATAATTTACAAAAAAATCGTATTGTACCTGATGTGCCAGCCCCAATTATTGCAACATTCAAAACGGGTGGTTTTTCTGTATTAACGGCTGCAGAATTTATTTGATTAATCACCAAAAATGCAGTAAAAAGTTCGAAAATTATCGCACGAATTGTAGAAAATCGCGTCATTTTAAAAACACTTTCTTTAATACACAAATAATATATTCTGTGGCTTGTTCGTCTGTTATCATTAACTGTTAGCGTCCAACTGACTTTGCTTCTTCAGTTAATCATATATTTATACGCTTTTTAAACGCTGGCTACAGTAATCAAGATGTGTGTTTGAAGAATTTGGATGCTCTTATCAGGACTGTGTGCCGTTTATACTTTAGTCATGATGAGACGACATCATACACTAGTTACACTGACACATATGACCGTATGAAAAATAAGTCTTATCATTGTATAAGTAAATCGAATTCATTCACACACAAAACAGTAGTAGTAGAATTGATTGCTTGAGAATGAAAACGAGACTTCTATTCATAACTTATTGAAATGTAACACCACCATACAAAATATGCTAACTGTCAGCACTTTTTGTATGGTGGTGTTACATTTCAATAAGTTGTGAATAGAAGTCTCGCTTTCATTCTCGGACATTCAATTGTTTTAATGTATTGGTATATTGCAAATTTACCAATATATATTTTAACATCTAAATTTGAAATATACCAATACATTTAAACAATTCTACTACACAGAGAGAAAAACATTAAGATTTACTACTACATTTTTGAGAAACGTCAAAACACAACCACTGTTGTGTTTTTTCCCACTGTATAAAAGATCCTTTTATACACGCGCAGTATAAACATTGACAATTGAATAAAAAAAATGAGTGGGAAAAAACACAAATGAGTGGGAAAAAACGTAATAGATTTCTCTCTTTGTACTAATGCTTTTTTATGTGTCGTTTTTATTCTTATCGTTGGACCCTTGCTTATACTACTTTTGTATGCTAGCTGCAGTGTTTGTTGGTCAGCAGTTGGTACAGTGTAAAGATTTTCGCATTCTTATCAATGGAAATGGGATTATGTTCCGCTTATATTTTTGTCATGATGAGAATAATAGCAAAGGTCACTACACGACTTGATTTGAAAAAGGAGAGTCACGATTAGATTAGTAAATCCACTTTACTCATTTTGTTATTATCGGTAATTAAAAATAACAGAATAATTTGTCCAGATTTGTTTTCGGAAAAATTAACTTTCAAAGAAACACATATTTATATGCTTATATGTATTTATATCATTATGTTATGTTAATGATTAGGACAAAGTTCAAAACATCTCAAGATGTTCAATGGACATGCATTTTAAAAAGAGGTGATAATGGTTTTAAAACATCGTTGCCGAACTTTAGGCGAAAAAAATAGTTAAATGCTGATTTGTCTGAATTCCATACTCAAAAGTAACCTTTACGGCGACATATGGTATTATTATTTTCAGCAAAGCTGTTTCGAAAAGTTTCCTCCGAATTTTTTCTCGTGTACTTCTTTATGTTTGATTTCAAACAGAAACGAAGTAACGAAAGTGATACTAATGAACAGTAGGGGTTATATGTCTTTCCTCATTTGTCTTTGTTGCTTTGCTTTCGCTGTTTGTCCGGCATAGAAATATTTAAGTTTATCGTAATCACAAAACATGTTTTGATCGGTTGAATCGTTCTTCTACCACCACCACGCGATGGTTCAACTCCATAAGAGAAGTTTGCTACACGAGCCAAAACAGAACCAATTTGTATTTGTGTCGTCGTCGTTCGAGTAGCGGTAGTGCAAGCACAACAGTCTTAGTTGTTGATCAATACTAATAACGTTACGAATGATCAAGTTTGTGTTGCTCTAGGTCCAACCGCTTTATGTCATTAAATACTTTCTCGTGTGTCGCTAAATCACCCAAAACTTTTGATAGACCACCGCATTCGCGTTTGATTCGTTCGATGTAATAGACGCACAGGTATTTCTCCAGTTTGAAAAAAAAATTAAACTCAACTCGTACAATCAACACTTTAGCGAAATAATTGCATTTTTTTTCGAAAAGTGGAAGAAACACAAAGTGAATTATAGTGGAACGGAATTTTCAAACGAAATTTTTTCTTAAAGCATTCAATAACTAAAATTTATAAAAATGGTCAACAATTGGAGTGATAATCCGGAATACGAACATTTCAAATATGTTACGGCAATTCAAAGCTGGATTAAAACTCAACCGCATCTGCCGCAAAATATACGTAAGTCTTACACTTTTTTTTTCGTCGATAATTACTGATGACTTAATTAAAAATAAATAGATTCCATGTGCAAATTGAAACGAAAAACGGATGGTTTTCTCCGGTTTTTTCCCAGTTAAAAAAATCTCATTAATTTTTATCAATCTGTTGAAAATGGCTAAATATTATGATATTGATTAATATATTTTTTTTATGTACACACATTCATGTAGTGTGATTTTACTGAATAAACAAAAGCCCATGAGAAAAAAAATTTGTGATTAAATTGACAAATACACGATTGTGTACATTTTACGAGCAATTTTCTAGAGTTATTTGTTTAGCATTGATGTGCGAAAATGTGCTAAAGTCTAAAGATCATTCAAAGACTTTTTTATGCAATTGAGAATGAGACAATCGTTGAACTAAGTCTTCTCTCATAACTATACATTACTTGCAAAAAATAATTCTGGAATTTCAATAATAAAATGTTAACGCCGTAATGAAATCATTGCATGCCAATTTGGTGAGTATTATTCATATTCTCGCGCTAATTTGAACATTTTCGTTCATTTCAATTGCAAATCAATTATATTCAAATTTATATTTTTTTATTTTGATATTGCGTTTAATTCAAATGAAACAAAAAAGCGATGAACTGAAATTGTTTATAAAATATAACGTAAACAACAAAAAACAGTTAATAAAAGACATTTTGAATAATACACACAACACCGGCCACATTACAACGGTAAAGTTTTTCTTTGTTGGCGTTTCACAAACACGTTCAATTTCATTTCATTGAATAAAAAAAAACCGCATAGACAATTCCATAGAAAGTTTTTATAATAAATTCTTACCATAAACAGCTTTGAACTGATGAAACCGTACGGCATGCCCATTGTATATCTTTATAAATCGTGGTCAGTTGTTATTGTTATTGCTTTGATTAACGGCCGAAAGAAAAAGCAAGAAAATACAAACATACAATACGAGCGAAAAATGTGTAGAGGTTGACGCGTAAACTAACAATTGTTCGCAATTGAAATGTTCGTAATAAGTTTTGTCGTACAAATTGTCAGGGTTTTTTGGTGCCAAAAAGTGTCAAACAATAAAATTAATTCTTTGTGCTATAAATCACATTCATTTGGTTAATACGCCATAAAAAAAATTGTTATTTAATGAATTTATTCGGTAATGCCGAATGATGTTTTATTCCAAAAAGTAGCGAAAAAAAAAACATTTGGATGACAATTAAAATGAGCAACAATGGAATGTTGGTACATTCCTGGTTCAAAGATAATTGCAAAAAAAATCATGTGCATATAATTTAGAAACAGCAATGCGATGTTAATGCAATGACAAGGAAGTGAATAGGCAACTAAAGATATAACGTTGTAATGCATGCACACGAATTGAATAAGGTGAGCCAAACACTGGCTTTCTTCATCGAATCGAATATTTAAACACAAACCTATTGAGCAACAACGTAACATTTATATTCATTCGAAGATATTTTTTCGTCAAAATCGACTCCGAAAAAAAGTCGATGGGTTACAATGATAACCCAGTAAAACGGTTAATACAATTTGATTTGTGAATGTTTAACATAGTCACAGCAAACGCGTCGATCACGTTTAGATTTGATTCAAAATCTACTTAATATTCAAGACAAATCATAAGCCAATGTTGTTGTATCGCAATTTTAAATACGTTCACATGTTAATTGTCATAGTCAGATGAAAAGAGATAAAACGAGATATAAACCGATAAAAAATATTTCTTTTCTTTAAATCAAATTTACCGCTATTTGAAAACATCTTGAAATACAAAAATAGGCATCCGATGACTTCTTTGGATTGAATGCAAAGGTTTCATACACACTGAAAACGTCATCGAAAACCAGTTAGATACAAATGAAAGAAACTGGCTTTTTCTCTCCAACGACGTTTGTGTGAAATAATAGCCACATGAAATGATTACAAAAATGGCACTCTCAGACCTCTTTTATTTACAGCAACAACAAAACATTTTAGAAATGACGAAAAAATACCAATACCGTTCTACATCTTAAAATTTGTTTAATTAGACGATGAAGGCCGGCAAATTTTGCCGCGAAATTTTTGACGGTTACCATTTCGTTTGTACATTGAAATGTGGCAAAAATTCAATAGAAAGAAAAAATGTGGGTACTCGTTGGCATGTCAAAATGTTAAAATACCATATACCGCATTTGGAATTACTTTATGCGATCTAACATTTAAGTTTGAATGCAGATATTTATGTGTCAAGATCATGTCCCGTGGATCTGATTTATAGCATGATAATGTCATTTTCTATTAATAAAATTAGAATAGTATAATAAACATGAAAAAGGTAACATTAGTTGATTAATGCTAGGTTCCGTCGTCGTCCCTGTAACCAATTAAATTGGCGTGTTGTTTTTTTCATCTGAAGAATCCAAATAAATATTTGTCAAATGAAACACTACACCCAAATGACTTTACTATAAATGCCAATGTATTTGCCTTCTCGTTTCCTCCGCAGCAAACGATTTGTTAGCATTGAAACAACTCTATCATCCATATTTAGCAATTGATTTTTATAAACAAAAAACACTGTGAGTGCGCCACAGCTCATTCAGAAACAAAACAAAGGAAACCCAAACACAAGTTCAAGTTTACAAATTACATAGCAATTTTTTACGGAATATTTAACAATGAATTTTAATGCTTCGCTTTTCAATTCAATTCGGTAAATGATCACTTCGTCTACTTCGTCTCTGTTTTGTGGTGTTCTTTATTTCGTCGGTGTTAATTTACACTTTAAGTTTTATTGTTCAGCGTTAAAATGCCAAACCGATTTCCATTCCAAAAACTGTGTACACACTTGAAGAATCGCACGCATGCTGCGGTATGTGGCCAAATTGAAAAAAGGGAGAAAAGAAAGAAACAATTGTTGTAAATTAAACTTGGCATGCAGCAAAATAACCTTGGCAATGATTTTTTTTTTTTTTGTAGTTTTATTTTGTTACCACATTTTTCACGCTTTTAATCTAGAACTATTACGAATGACGCACAAGTGGACAAGATTTATTAGACACACGGCAAGTGTTAATAGGGTATAAACCATTGTATTTTGGTAATGCGACAACAATAAAAAAGACGTGAAACAGGTTTTAATTATTAACTATGTTGCTCCATGTGGCTTTATCACATTAAATGTGCAAAAATCATCAACGGATCGATACTTAAAATTTCACGTTTAAATTTTTTTTCATCAAACAAGAAACAAGTTAATATAGGTAATGAAAAAAATGAACTTGACTCACATTGGCGCTTGATGAGCTTCTTCGCTTTAAATTTTATGAAATGCCGACGAATCTCGCTCAAATCGAATTGGGTTATCGGTTGTTTTGTTTCCAGTGATTTAAACGGTTTGAGCAGATTCGCCAATCATAACTTATTATTGATTATTCGCCGAACGTTGGAAAATTTGTTCAAGTTCGATGATCTTTTTTTGAATAAGATGATAAAATGCAAATTGGATTTGCATTGAAAATGAATTTGTGTTTGTTTTCTTTAAATCTGGTCTTTGATAAAACTGAACTTGCGACATTTCGTCACTTTTTTCTCAATCTCCAGTATGATTTTGCCATCAAATGAAATAAGTTAGTTAAGAAATACTTAATGAGGCTTCCAATTAAGACTCGATGGAAATGCAATTTTTCGATTCTCTCTAAGATAACATTGGCTCGAATGCGTATTTAGGTAAATTGCTTTATAAGTGTGCTTTAAGTTGCACATGTAATTAACTTGAAATTACAATGTTTCCGTAAAATATAAAAAAAAGCATCTGTTTCTTTGGCCAGGCTCATAAATGAGCAAAGATCAATGCAAAGAGACTCGCTAAAGTTCATTGACAGCGCATAAAATGCATCGAAACATGTTTTACGACATACAATCATTTTAGACTTGAATCGGATCGAAGGTTATTCTTTTGCTTGAGTTCCGTTATGCACATTTAAAGTGCAAGTGTCAATAATTTAATGATGGAAACATTTCAACAGACCTCAGAAAAAAAGATCCAAACAAATTGCGCACTCACAATGGAAATTCTCTGTCATTTCGTGCAAGTAAGAAGACGCGACAAATTTAGTAAATAATTCACATCAATTCACAGCAAACAAAACATTCGTCAACTATCAATTTGAGTGGGATGTGTGAGTATCAATGCCAAACAAATTACATTAATAGATTGTTATTTTAGCATATCTTTTAATTCGATGCTAACGCCAATTAACAGTGACGCTAATTGAATTTGTTTTTTCCGAAGAAATTAGCGATATACAAATTTATAAGCGTCATATCTATCCTGTGGCTTGTTACGAAGAGTGGTAAGCTGTGGAGAGTCAAATTTGATTTTTATTGCAAAAAATTCCATCGGCCAGTTTCTTCAGGCTGGATTTTCTATATTTGCTAAGTGCTGCAAAACAAACTCGTTGTGCGTCTTAGCTCTCGTGATGCTTGCAACTATCGAAACAACGTCATTCAAGAAATGACTTGAGAAAAAACAACAACAATAAAATACAACTAAAAAACAATGGATTATTCCGATGCATATTTTAAGCCAACGAAAGGTGATTTCCATGTTTGACCACTTTTTAGTGGTTCCGTTTTTATTGCTTGTTTTTTTTTTCTTTGAATTTTTTTCAATGAAAGAAAAAACATCATCTCTTGTTTATCTTTTTCAAATAACCAAATGATCAATAACAAAAAATTACGTATTAGTGGAATATTTATTAACACTTATCAAAGAATTCGGTGGTAGGAAGTGCCGGTAGGCACGGGCTGCATTTTGCGGTTGAATTTCTCAATCAACCTTTGCAATTATTTGATCGGCATCAACAAAACCAGTTTTTATTTGTTCTCAGATAAACTAAAATAGCTCATGCAGACATATATGTAATGGTAATTTCCGATATCGTTCTGTGGTTCTCAGTTTAAAACATGTTTATTATGTTCGTTATAAGATGTGTTGAAAATTCTTCATATAAACACTGCTCATATCTTTCCAGTATAAATAAGTGTTGCGTTCTTCATGTGTGTGTTTTGAAATTACATATAATGAGTTGTGCAAGCGCGATTGAATCTGGCAACACTTACCGTACATAGTTGGAAACGTCAAACAATTGACAGTCCATAAAATTGTTTATTTATATGAAAAGTGATTGTAATTTCAAGCGGCAAAAGTCGATTTTAATCAAAGAAGAAAAACCCAAATGTGAATCATTCGTTCAAAGTGTTTCAAACAAGTTGGCAATTATTTGAAGCGGAAATAGTCATGGAGATAATTAAAATTGAAGGTATGTCAATGTGTATGGATGAAGTTTTTTTGCAGCGATAATGAAATAGAAAATTTCTCAATGATTTGCAGTTGACGATGTGCCCTATGGCTATGATTGTGTAATTTGTAGAGAACGATATTCGTCGCGAACCGAACGAAACGAACATTTGGAAACACATTTCGTACACAAAAAATGCAGCGATTGTGATCGATTAGTGATATTAATTGGGGATTTGGAATTTGAATTGCACCGACCCACATACTGTACGAAAGCAAGCGAAAACTATGATATCAATGACAAACATCTACAACCATTTATTGCGTTGGATAGACTGCAAGACGATGATGCAAATCCAGATGCGGTGCTTAACGAAAATAATGATACATCAAATGAACAAATTTTAGATATAGAGATATTAAAAGATGACACAGACACCGAAGATTGCGCATTGAGCATAGCCGGCGATGTAAATCCAGAAGAGAATAAAGAAATTGAAGAAGAGAACGACACACCGGAAAAACCAAAACCAAGCACAAGAAAACGAGGTCGAAAAGTAAAAAAAACGGTGAAACAAAATGAAGAGAGTACACCGAAGAAACCGCGTCGTATCACAAAAACGCGTTCAGTTAAAATGATAGCATGCACTCAGGAGGGTTGCACCGAAGAATTTAGACAACAACAAATGTTACGCAAGCACTTGAAAATGATTCATGGTATCGTTGAGAAGCACATTTGCTCAATATGGTATGTGCCAATTTTGAGCGAGAATACCAAACCAATCGATCTAGAAAAATAAAGTTTTTTCTACTCTCATTTAATTAATTTTTCAGCAACTTTTCATTTGCTGATAAATCAAATCTGAAACACCATTTGGTGACGCACACCGACCAGAAAAGGTTCGTATCGGGAGGGAAGAGACGGTCTTTAGTATTACCTATTTTAAATAGGATATTTCTCATAATTTGCGTTTACAAGGGTGATTGAAAAGTTCCAAATTATTGGATTGATGTTATTTCTAAATCCGTAGAGAACTTTTCAATAGCTTTAATAGATAGAAGAGACTCCAAAAAATACCATCAATTTCAGTTTTGGCTTTGTTGATGGATTTTTCATACAAAAATTGATATTTATATAATAGAATTACATTTTGTTGTATTCTAAGGTTGGTCTCTTCCAAGTGCTGTAACTTGTAAACTAATCAACGGATTTTGCTCAAATTATGACAGAAATTCGTGTTTTTTCTTTTAGATTCATATGTTCTTATTGTGGGAAAAGATTTCATAAGTATACTAACTTAACCGAGCATCAGAACGCCCATCTTGGTAGATCGAATATCATAGCTGGGCAGACAGGGGGATAGAATTTTTCAAAGAGCCAATGTCAAAACACTTTAGCAATAGTGGTTGCTAGGGTTTTTGGCGGCCAAATACACTGTAAAACATACCACATTACCGCTTATGAAATATTCCTGAAATTTTCAGTCTGCCCAGCTATGTTGTATATGAATATTTATTTGCATATCGTATATTTATCTTGATTATAATATGTTTCATGTTAAATTTAAAGGATTAAAGCCATACAAATGCGAAATATGTGGCAAGGATTTCGGTAGATCGAATCACAAACGACAGCATATGCGGGTAAATTGTTGATAGTTTCATGCTGTGCCGTTTCAATGTTAATCAACATCATTCTATTCTTGCAACAGGTGCACACGGGTGAAAAGCCGTATTCCTGTTTGATAAATGATTGCTCGCGAGCATATATGTTCAAAATTGACTTGAAACGTCATCAAAGATCTGTAAGTGTGCGCGTGTGTGTGTGTAATATTATCAAATCCATAATCAAAATCGTTTTATTCTTGGGACAGGTTCACGGAATCATCGATAAGACATTTCCTTGTCAAATTTGCGCGAAGGTGTTTTATGAAAATAAATATTTGACAAAACATTTATCAACGGCACACTCGTAATGAAAAAAACAGCAATAACATTCTGTATATATATAAATATATTAAGATTCATTAAATTATTATTATATTTGTATCGCATTTATTGCAAACTGATGGAAATAAATCGTGTTGATTATATCAAATTGTCCAATCATTCCGCTCGAAAATATTGCACATTGGAATCGGATCTTTTTTTCTCTTAAATTTTAACCCAGATTTTGATGAAAAATTTAATTTTTACGAAAAAAAAAACTGTCATTGCAGATCCGATTTTGCTTCAAAGGTTCATTCACTCGGTGTACGGCAATGTGGAAAAGGCGAAAAAACTAATTGAAAATAGTTTCAGCATGCGCAATAATTACGCGCACATATTCTTGAAACGTGATCCGTTGTCGATTGAATCAAAGCAAGTTTTTGAAGTTGCGTAAGTATCCATTCTCGAACAAACACATTCACAAAGCTAAACAACTAGAAATTATGCTTCCATGATTGTTCGTATGCTTTGATGCTCCATTTCGAAATGCCTATAGAAAACCGCATGCAATTATGGTCCGAGTAATTGCGTTATGAAACCAACTGGTCAGCCACACAAAACAGCGATAAACAACATTTATTCTGCATACCTGAGTGCATGCCGTGCGCTCAACTCAAACGAATAAATGCGGTTTAAACAAAGAATCATATTTACAAATGATCAAAGCATGGAAACATAATCATTTTCAGCATTTTAATCAGAATCGTTTGGATTGTTGAACAAAAAACAAAAAGAAAATGTTGACAATTTTGTTTTTTGAAATTATTTATAGCGATATGCTACCACTGCCGTATGCAACGAAAGAAAACTACAAAATCATGTTATATCGCCTAGCCAACACAGAAGCCGAAAAGGTATGTACTATAATGGTTTACAATTTTTTTTTCTGAATGAAACATAACAAAAAATGTATAAAGTAAAATATTGTGTCGCATAACAGTGACATAGTATTTTTGGTTTTCTTCATATTTCATCATCAATTTGATATACTCACACAATGTATGATTTACGATCCATCACGACACCGATTATGACGAATAAATCGTCGTCCACCGAAAACAATGCCACCATTACACGGTTAAGAAAAGAAAACGTACACATAAATTAAATTAACTCTAAAAATTTCATATTATATTGCATTCACGCGAATTGCGCTTTCAGAGACCACAATTATTATCGCTATTTTACGTTGACTTCTAACCTTTAATGACACACTCCATTGAAATCCAAAATTTTTATTACCATTACATCATTTCATGCAATGAGAATGTAATGGCAAAAAAAAAACAAAAGGATGGTAAAAAATGATGTACAGCATTCAAGTTGTGTGTTCAACATTCACTCTGCCTGTCATCTGTTTACTTTTTCTTTCTGTGAAAAAACAAAAAATTTGCAACAAATTTTGAAAGTTATAATATACGTGTGTTTAGATTTTATTGAGGAAGTTTAATCTTGCATAGTTTTAGAAACTTGAAACAAAAAAATCTTACCTAACCAGAAAAATTCAATATTTCTATGTTATATTAGTTCAATTTTACTGAAGCAATAAAGATGTTCTTCATGGTAGCCGATGTTCGTTTGATTTGCATGGATGCTAATGAACCGAATAGCGGTTGGAATGGTGAGGTACCTGTATTCGACATGAATGGCTTTAGCCTAAGACATGTTACCTGTGTGGTTTTATCGGTGTTGCGAGTCTACATGAAATACACACAAGTGAGTTCTATAGCAGCTAATAATTATGGATATTATCCAGGGGGAAATCACGTGGAAATAATTGAAGAAAAATTGGAAAAAAATTATTCAAAAAATGGAGATAGTTGAATTATTCTCATTTTTTCATCATTTCTTTTTTCAATTATTTTAATTTGATTTTCCCCTTGATATTTTCGTATAATATTCATATTCTCTTTTTTTTAGGAATGTCATCCAGTACGTCTTAGATCAATTCATGTGATCAACTGTTCCCCATATTTGGATCGTATTATGGCTATTGTTCGCCCATTCATGCGCAAAGAAGTTTCAAAATTGGCAAGTCTCCAAGCAAATTTGAATTCCTTATGGTTTTCTTTGATTAGCATCCATTAACATTTTACATCATTTGGCAAATGTTTTGAAAATATATAACGACGTTTTTAGCTAAACAAAGTCCAACTGAAGAACACACTAATTTTTTTCAACTTTTTATCACATACGTGATTTTGAAACCGGTTTCTCACTCATTTGAATATTTACCAAAAAAAATCGTAATTTATTTCGTTTGTTCATTTCATGTGAATTATAAAAAAAATTTAAACGCCAACGCGTTTTCTTCCGCATTTCAAGTCCAAGGTCACACGCACACTTCATAGACAATAAAAAAAACCGTAAATAAACTTGAATCAAATCAATAATCTCGTGCATTTCTTTTTGTTTATTTTAGCTTCATTTCCATAAACCGGATTCGGACACACTGTACAAATTCATTCCAAAAGATCTGTTGCCGGCTGAGTATGGCGGAAAGTCGGGTGAAGTGAAAGAGATTAAAAGTAAATTCGTCAAATTGTTTGACTCATACCGGTAAATGTCATTGAAGAGATTGAATATTTTTTTCGATTGAAAATGTTTTAATTTATGCATGTTACATAATTTGCTTTTGCAGAGACTATTTGCTGGACGAAAGTCGATGGAAATTAAACAGTATTAACAAAAATAACCGTGGTAGCGTAAATGTTGAACAAGAAGTGTCCGGAAACTTCAGAACATTGTGCATTGATTAGAAACGAAAAATATCGCTTTAATGTTAATAATTTGAAAATAATTTGGTTGTTAACATTTTCTCATTAAGTGTTATTTGTATTTTAAATTGTAGTTCATAAGAAGGTTTACTGAAAGAAAAAAAGAGAAAATTTCACATTTCACATTTTTCCACTTTGAGGCAATTAACTGCACAAATGTAAAATACAATTTCAAATCAACTCTACAATCATATTGCACCATTTTGAACAATTTCTTTTTTCACTTGACGCCAATTTCAATGACATTGGATTTTTACCATGTAAGTTTAGTAATGTCCTTGTGACGTGGCAAATATATTATTTTTGCAATATTTTAAAGCAATTTATCCTTAATCCGCACATTAATTCAATATGATAAGGAAATAAAATAAACGGAATGGTTGAAGTCTAACGGTATCATGTTTATTTCTATTGCATCAGTGCGTTCAATACTATATTAGACAAAGTTTGTCAAAGAAATAAAAGCTTGGTAAGCTCGGCAAGCTCGGCATTGACAAGCAACACATGTTTACATGTACACAGCAACAAGTTCAAGCAAACAGACGTTAGATTTGAGTAGAAGGACTTAAATTAAATATAATCTTCAAAAATATTTGTCACTTCCATTAGGTGCTCTGAAAAATTCTTGCAAGAAATTAATTTGGATTTAATTTTAGACCAAATTAACTCTAATGCACTCTACAAACACCTACATTTTCCGGTTATAAATTGTAGTTATTATTAGTTGTACAATAAAAACAAACAGTACATAGCTCTAGCTCTTTCATAATAATAATTGCAGCAGCGTCATAAATTTTAGTGCCTCAACATTTGTATAATTTGGTTACACGACAAAATTTCATTGAACACCAGGCCATAATTGCACTCAAATTACGTTCGACAGTACCGGAAAACCAATTGTAGTTGAATTTCTTTACATTTAAACACGGAATAGTAGAATTAGCAGACGTCAATTGGTTGAAATCAACAATTAAAAAAGTACTTCATAATTTGCACTGACGAAAGATATAGTTTACAACAAGTAAATTGAATAAAGCATTTGTAGGGGATCCAACCAAGGGATTTAAAATTCATTCGGTAGCCATCGAAATAAAATATGTGTTTGTTACTTTTGTTTGGCGCATTAAATAACAAAAAAGTTGTAAAAAGTTTGTTTCTATCTTGGAAAATAAATACAATTCCTGGCGTAGAAATCAGGAAGAAATAAGAAGTGGGGTGGTAGTGCAAATTTTGCCATAAAAGAAATATATAGACATGCCAGAGAATTAATTTTTGCTCTACATGAAATCAAAAGGTAGTATAATTATATTTCACCATACTAAATATGAACTTTTGTTTAGTAATTTCTTTTTCAATTTCCTCCGATGTTTTTTCGACACGCACACATACCGATGTAGTTCACGTGTTTTCAAAGTCAATTTCCGAATTATTTGCTAAAATGCCGGTGAAGCCAGTTCGTTGAAATGAAAATGATAATGGTTTTTCAGAAAGAAAAAAAAATCTTTCTCAATAATAGAATCTCACGAGACCGATTTCGTTTCCACTATCACGATTTCAATCAACAACCGTCCCCATTTCATTCTTATATTATATGGGTTCAAATGATTCTCGTAAAATTGTTTCGCAATGGTTACATTTATTTTCCAATATTTCGTAAGAAGCTTTTCCTGTCCAAAATATCCACGTGATTAATGGTGCCTGCTGAAGAGTAAATCTTGAAAGGTAAAATCATAAAATATATACAAAATGCTTGCAAATTGCACAGCAAAGCGAAAACATTCGGAAACCAAATCGTTGTGGTATTAATGTGTTTGATTTCACTAATCTTCCATCTAAATTCATCGAAGTAAAGTCATGAAAATAAAATCGATGCATTTTATGCTATCAATGATAGCCATGCCATTTTATTTGTTCGGTTCAAAATAAAATCCAACATTCAATAGCATTTCAATCAATACAAATACGAAGTAAAATTAGTTTGCATGACTTCAATGTATTGTATTCTACTTTTCACTCGAACAATTATCCACATGAGAGACACATTTCACCGATTCAAGTCAAAATAAGAAAAATATAAAAAATAAAATTAAAATGCTGAAACTGACACATTCGATATTAAAATTTCATTCATTCTTTTTTTTGTCGCTTGCATTTCTTCGACTTTCAGTCATCAAATTAATTTGGACAACAATGAAAAACAAATAAAAATTGATACAAAATTATGCCCATCCACACATAAAGTCTGGTAATATATTTGTGATATAAATGTATAAGAAACAAAACTGGAATTGATCCAATGAAGGCCGAACACAAGCGAATCCGTGCAGTGTGTGTGTGTGTGTCTGTGCCAACAATTCACCGCGATAAGGACGACGAAGTGTTATGTTCTGTGGAAACAAGTAAATACCATTTGAAGCAACATGTTGAAGGGGAAACTGAGCAGTGGCACACGTTTACGTTCAGTGCACACACAATTTTCGCAAAGAGAATTTCAAAAAAATTGGATGTTGGTTGCGTGTCTGTATATGCGGGACTAAAAGACGCACCAATATCCATGTGTGTGCATGTGTTTGTGCACGCGCGAGTAATAGAAAAAAAGCTTTGATTCCAAACAAATATTATGTATTTATCGTCGAATCACTTTCCATTGAAGCTCAGTTCGAAGCGAGAATTGAACGTGAGAGGAGAGATTTTAACGGGATCACAGCAAATCCATAGCAACATTTTCACATTTATTACGTATTCACATCAACAATTGATTTACAAATTATCGGTTATTGTGCAGTGAACAACAACAACAACACCAAAATTTACTATTCCCTTGTGTAAATTTCAAATTTTAGCTATTGGAATACCGTTCGGAAAACAAAAGAATACACATTTACGTTTCAAAGTGAATACCGGTCGATGTTATCTATTATAAATTTTTTGTTCTAAAATGAGATTTTATTCAATATCTCGACCACGGACATAAAATTTAAAATACATAGTGATTCAGTGCAATTTTTCAATCACCTTTGTTGAACCTTGCACATATCATTCTTAATATCGGGATCTTGGTGAAGTAAAAAAAAAACGATATAAAAAGACATTGTTGCAAGTCGTCGTATGCAGTGAACGACCTTAATTAAAGAGTCAACAATGGCAAATCAACCAAGTTGATACTCACAAATCCATTTGCGGGCATTTACGGACTGTGTGGTAGTTACTTCTGTTCTGTACAATTCGAAAGACAAAAAAAAGCATCCGTTCGTGTTTGTATGTATGTACGATAAGTAAGACACAAGTTTTTAGTTGCAAATCTTCATCATTTCACTTTTTTTTGTTGTCGTTCATTTTTGAGCTGTTTTTGTGTATGTTTTCGAAAGAGATTCTTTCGAGTCTTGGGACGCTTCAATTTATGTGGGTATAAGTCAAATAAGTCACATACGAAAACCAAATTTATTAAATTCCAAGTTTAAAATCGTCGAAAGACGATGTCAGAATCGCAAAATGCGTTACTTTCCTTTGCACTCTCGTACATTTGATGAAATCCACCGAAATCAAACTTTGTCTTGCCCGTCCCTGAAATATTGCGAACCATTTATTTTATCCTCGAAATATTTTCTAACTCAAGTGATATACCAAAAACAATCTTGTTCAGACATACAACATTTAACATTCAGCGAAAATGCGTGAATATGCTTGGATTTTGTGGCGGATGATAATTTCCATTCAGTATTTGTGCGATGCAATGAAATTCATGTAACATGGAAAGTGAATTAAATATCGCCTACTTTAATCTGTTTGGAGATGAGTGCAAACAAAAGAATTATGTGATTTATTTATGACGATAAATGCGATTTGGCAAATCTTCCAAATTGAATAACCGCTTTTTTCGCTGCTATCATTTTGTAAAATGTATGCAAAGAAAAAACGAATGATCTCAATGAACCTTACGATACTCAGTGTACTCGATGTAAATAAGAAATGTTCAGTTATTGGTTGGTCGGATGATAAATGGCGATTTTCCGTTTGTAAAATACATAACACTCTTGTCTCATATAAAAACCATTTTAGATTGATTTTCCACAACAACAACAACGGCAAAAAATAACACCAGCAGCAAAACATATAAACATACGCACCATTGATTGTACATATACAACGTTTCATTCGCAGATTGTTTGTGAATTTTATGCTTTTTTACGTGCTGCAAACGTGCTGTGGGACCATCGTATTATTGAATATTTGATTTGTTTGTAAGACACATTGAATCATTTGGTTGACCTAAAATCTTCAATTCCCTGATATTTCCTTGGGCTAGTGGTATACGTATTACGTATATCACTATATTTCTCTCAATCTAATAATTGCTCGACGTGTATCGATGGAATTCAACCATTAATTCTTCACATTCGATTCAACTGAATTCGAGCAAAGTTGCGGAAAGATACATGCACCCAAACCAAACATGATGAATAAGACCGTAAGCTCAAGTGAATATCATATACCACATTCAATGAAAATTTAATCGTCTTTGCAAAACCATTGAGTAAATTAAGAAATGTTCGATTCTGCATCACTTCGCTAATGGATTAACTCGCACAAAATCAAATAGAATAGAAAGCACGTAATTTAAAGTTTCTGAGTTGATTTTTTTTTCTCTCTCTATCTCTCGTTCGCTTCTGTTCATTGAACGAAATAAAGGGAAAATGATGGAAAAAAATGGCACAAATCTTTTGCAAGTTAAATTGCTTTCAAGATTTGAAGAAGTTGGATCGTAATTACATTTGTTCATTCAACCTCACACTTTTTGTATGATATTTTCTCAATAATAATAATAATGACACTGGATATTGAGAGATTGAGAATGAGATTATCAACCAAAGCAATTCAGTTGTTGTTAATATACGAACCATAACGAATAATTCTATTGTCAATTATATTTCCGATGAATACACTGAATAAAACCCAAATCAAATATTTTTATTTTCGCCAAAAAAGAATTTGCCACTTTCTGTAGACAGCGAACGAAAAGGGAGAAAACAACTGAAAACAAATAACCCCCCACCAAAAAAACATTGCCAAAAATAACGAATAAAAGAATATGTAACAGTGTGTGACGTTAAGAGTTAGCTCCACAAAATATAGATGTATATGTAGAATTGTAGATACTGTCGCATCCTCAAAAGATGTTCACAATGACTTCATTCGTGCGCCCACATTTCGGTGGCAAAAGTTTCATATAGCCAGACACACTTGAAACCCTCATCCCCAGACCCAAAAAAAAAAAAAGAAAAAAAAAATAGAAGACAGCGTACATTCACTCGAAGAGAATACATTTGCAAGAGGTAGCGCGATCGTGTTTGTTGATAACAGGGGATTAATGATAAGAAAATATATTTACTCCTCACCAATTCAATGCTGTCATCAGTCAATGTGGTCTTCTTTTTACATAGGTATATATATTCGCTTTGTTGGTTGACTAATGAAAATATGATTCAAAATACATACATAAATATACATGGTGTCTCCAGCCAAGAGCAGAATATCATATCATATCATATTTCGTGAAGAATGAAAAAGAATAAATAAAAAAAACTTCGAGCAAACAAACCGAGTAGAAATCCCTTTTCAATTGAAAACCTATTGTTGTTCGATACACGAAAATTCCTCCTTTTTATGCTGCGGTTTTTCATTCAATGTTTGCAACATTTTCATCTCAATACACAAATCGCATGGAAATTTCTGTTCATCATTTTCATCGGCCACCGCAACAGGGTTCTCGGTGTTTTGGCGGTTTTAGTCACATAAATTAAGTGTGGACCCAAGGAGACGTCCAACGCCAAAGATGTATTTACTTTACATTTCACCTAACGACTACGGTTGACCTTTTTCTACTTCGTTGTCAAGTAATTTTCCAGTGGTCAATGATAAAACTAAACATTAACCGAAAAAAACTCAAACATTTACCAAATGGCTGAGGTTAAGCAGCGTCACATTTTCCAGTGCTATATCAATTTTTCAGTGTTTCAGTTTTCATTGTTTTCATTGCTGGAAACTTTTTTTTTTCACCACAATAATAACTGAGTTGAGTAAATAGACGAGGGAGAGAAACGAAAAAAAAATTGCGGCACAACTAAATTGAATTCATCGCAAATGAACAAACAAATGACACGCTAATGAACTCACTTTGCATAAAAGTGGTTAAATTGTTTATAAAACCTTTTTTTCTGAGCTTATAATCTGATTCGAATTTTAAAGGAACGCCGAGAAAGAGAGACAAAGAAAAACAGTGTCATCAATAGAATGTGAAAATAATTCTTTGTTCGATCAGGGTTTTCTATTTTCAGAGATTAAAATTGTCCCGTGGCACCCGAATGGCAAATAGACTTTTAAATTAATGACAACCATCTGAAAATGGTAGTCAATATCAGTCTGTGCTGTGATAATTTGCCATGATTCCAAGTTCGTTCACACAAATGTTCAATTTTAAACAATGGCGCAGCAAAAGG